GGTCCCGAGCCCGCTGCGCGGTGCCCGGGGCTCGGCTCCTTCGGCGGGGCCGCGCTGCGGGGAGCTCGCCCGACCCCCTGCCCGCCCAGAGCATCGTCCCTGTCTCCGGCCAGGCCTCGGCCCCAGCTGGACCTGCTCTTCCTGCGGCGCTTCCTGAGGATCCTGGCCGTGCTGTTCCCGCGATGGCCCTCGCCCAGCGCGCTCATGTTCCTCACCCTGCTGCTCGTGGCCCTGCTGGGTAAGTCCTGGGGCCGCAGGCGGGGGCTGCCCGTCGGCTCCCTGGACGGGAGCGAGCGCCCCATTGCCCCGCGGTCACCCCCTCTGCGCTGGCCACCGCAGCCCTTCATCTTCGCTTGCTGTTTCCTTGTTTCCTCCAGAGCAGCTGATCATCTACCAGGTCGGTGTGATACCCAGCCAGTACTACGAGGTGCTGGGGAACAAGGACTTCTCCGGGTTCAAAGCACTGACTGCCGTTGCTGTCACGCTGATCGTAGTCAACTCTACGGTAACGCAGGCCAGAGGCTCCCCGGGAGGTTGAGGAGGGCCGGGCACCCTTGAAGCAGGGAGGTGCTGTCATCGCACGAAGGGAAGGGGAAAGCTGCCAGGGGTTCCCAGTAGGACCCCTGTGCCGAAAGATCTAGGTGTGTTTGTGCTCCCGTTGGTAGCTGCATATGGGATGGTCACCTGAGCAAACTGTTCTTATCATTTTGTGAAGTGCCTATTTTCCTGGCTCATTCCTATCCATCTGACTCTTTGTCCTCATTCCAGCTAAAAAGCTTCAACCAGTTTATCTGCAACCAGATGTATGTGAGCTGGAGGAAATCCCTCACCGAATACCTGCACAGCTGTTACTTCCAGGGCCAGGTCTACTACAGCCTGCACGTGCTGCGCGAGGACATCGATAACCCGTAGGCTGCCTGCGGCTTCTTTCAGCCTCTTTCTTGGCTTCTCCTGAGCTGCTCCTCACCTTTGCTTGACGTCTCTGTATCTCTGGGTAGGGATGTGAGCCCTAGAAGCTTTTTCCATGTAGGCACAAATACCGTTGTCTGCCCTGGGTGTAGGGGGTACATGGCAAGCCTGTACAGGGAATGCCCGCGGCTGATGGTCATCATGACTTCAGGAGACAGTAGCTGCTGGTGGTTTTGTTGCAAGGAAAAGGGAGTCTCAGCAGGACAGAGATCTCGCAATTGGTACAAAATGCACTGTCTACAAAACCAGCCCTCATTACTCTGCATGTGGCTTTGCAAAGGGCCTGTCTGGAGTCACAGTGCTGTCTTTCTCTGCCTTCATCCAGCCAGTGTACTCAGCAGCCCCAGTTCAGTTTGAACTTCAACCACCAGAGTCTCCAGCTGAACACAGGCTTGCTTAGTTTTTTTTTTTTTTTAAGTGATTTTAGTAATTGTGGGGAAAGTTGGGAGCCACGTCCAGGAAGAGCTTTGTTTTGGTCTGGGCAAGAATTGCATTTCCTCTCTTCTCTTTCCAGAGAGGAAAGGTCAGAGATGACTTGAAAATTGAGATAATAAGGAGGAGCATTCAGGAGGAACATTCAGTCCCTCCTTGCTTATCAAGGCCCACCCTGAGAGCCCCTTCCTATCCCTCTGCAGTGGTCGCTTGCACTGCTGCAGCAAGAGGGAAGTTCTGCTTTTCGCGCTGTCCCAGTTACTGCAGGGCTGCTCATCTGCCTAGGCTGTGTTGCAAGAGCTGAACACCTCCCTTACTTGCAACAGCATGCTGGCCCTGGCCTTTTGGCCTGTTGTGCACAGAACACTGCAGTCATAGTTATTGAGTCTGAAAAGTTAAAGATCCTCCATTAGATACAATATGAGAGTTAGAAACTGTTTTTTTTTTTTCCTCCAGTTCTCTAGTAGCTTCTCCAGAGCTAAAATACTAAATGAAAAACTAGATACCAGGGAAAACGTCACTTTCAGAGCGTTGGTGCCATCTCCCAGGGGTGGGAGACTGCTATCTGTTGCTGGTAGTGGTGACTTCAAGAAGCTGAAATAACCCCTGGGCTGCTGCTGCTCGGTGCTCTTGGTGCCTGTCTCTGGATGATACCGCTTGGTGGTTTATGTGGCTGCTCAGCAAGCTGGAGCAGGATATGTCATACTGTCACACCTTATTTTTTTTCCATGTGTGTCCATATCATTTTCCAGACAGGTCCATTCCCCAGCTGTTTATGCTCTCCTGGCACTGAGATATACTGAGATAAGAACAAGCAAATGGGGACAGGGCAAACAGCAGGCGAGGAGAGGGTTCAGCTCAGCTCTATCACTCCCGCCAAATGAGAAATACAGCCTCATTGATGCCCATACACTTCCCAGCAACCATTGGAGTTACCTCCAACCTCTCTGAGCAGAGATAGTGTTTTGCAGTAGGATAGAGTTGCAAAGGACAGGCTAAAAGCTGTGCCTGTCACCAAGACATCCAGTGGTTCCCAGGCAGGGCAACACATTGGCCAAGGCCAGAGCTGCTGCACAAGCATCTTTTCCTTTGGATGGGGGAAGGAGAGGACAGAGGTTCAGCACCATGTGACGGTGCTCTCAGGTTTATTTTTAACCCAGAAATGTATCCAGAATATGTGGTTTAAAAGTATGAGATAACTGGGTGTATCTGCTTTGCAGCAACAGAGGCAACTCTCTTGACCTTAGAGCAGACCAAATTTGTGGAATAGTTGCAGAGTGTCTTTCACTACACGTTGCTCCTGCTCAAATATTCAGCCACACTGTTTAGTGTCTTTCTGCTGCATCTGCAAAAAATCTTATCTTAGGAATTCTCAATGCAATTTTTTTTCCTACACCGGGCAGTTAGAACATGAACTAAGAGCAAAGAACTGACTTCCTGTTTGGCAGTGCAAACCAAGCTGTGTGTGGGAAGCACTGTGTCATCCTTGTTTTCATTTCACAGGAAAAGAGGAGTGGCTTTAGAGTGACATGCTAACACTTGTGGGTCCTATCAGGGCATCTGAGGTCATGTTTTTATGTTATCACTTCATATCCCTACTGTGAATCTATAGTCTGAGTTAATTTGTAACTTGATGGGAACAGTTACAAACAGTCCAATAAAAGCAAAAATGGTGACCATAAGGTCACTAGGGTGGCAGATGCCCTGAAAAGGAGGTAGCTTTCCTCTTTGCTGGACTTTCCAACATCCATAGTTGAGACGTTTTTTGCCTGTGCTTAGAGCATCAGAGGCCAAAGCTCTTATTTATGTTCTCTGGACAGATCAGGCACAGAGGGACTGAACGTGCTACAAACCTTTCTAGTTGTCCCAAGCTCGTCTCTTGCCAAGCAGAGTGGGAAAGGTTGGACTCCAGGGGCCTATCACGCTCGTGCTGGCTTGGTGCCCTGCTGCCTGCTCGTGTGGGGTGGGTCTGGGTGAAAGCACTTTCTCTGCAGCCGAGGGACCGAGGGGTATCCTTTGCAAGTGGAGGGACCAGCTGCTCACTAGGAGAGTGGCTTGGGTGGAGGAGTTTTCAAATGTCCAAGCATTGGTTCTGGAACCTGGGATGCAACACCAGCAGTCAGTGTTTTTGGTAATATGGAATGGATCTGGGAGAGGAGTAAGAGACAAGGATGGCAAAATCTTTAGTACATGGCAAGACAGGAATCTTGAGAGTGGAACAAGGGATTAAAACAAGGAACAGGGTGAAGGTAACAGAAGGAACCATTCTGCCTGTATCAGAGAGGTCCTGTGTCCTGCTGGACCCTGGGAATTGCCTCCATTGGGGACCATGGCAGTCATGCCTGCAGGTCCTTTCCACTCAGGGTTGTTCGTCCTCACTCTGTCCTAAGTGTAGGCAGTGACTGTAGCCTGTCTCGTGCCCTACTGGGGAGTTACAGCATCCTGCATGCACTGGTGCTTGCTACTCAACTCTAACACTGTCGTTGCCTCCGTGTGTTGAGCAGAGACCAGCGCATCAGCCAGGATGTGGAGAGGTTCTGCAGGCAGCTCAGTTCCATGGCAAGCAAGCTGGTCATCTCGCCCTTTGCGCTGGCCTACTACACATACCAGTGCTTCCACAGGTAAGAACCCCCTCTTGCTGTGCTCTTGTGCCTCTGGCCTGGGCTCTGTTTTGAGGCCTGGCACCCACGCTGTGGGTTGTGCTAGGAGGTGTCTCTGGCTGCACCCCAAAAGGCCTCCTGCCCTGGAGGTGCTGGGTGTGTGGTGTTGACTCTGCAGCCCCTGTGAGAGGGAGGAGAGGTTCCTGATGAGGACTCTGGCTTCGCAAGCCCAAAGGTGCTGGAGTGACCTTTTGCTTGGGTTGTTAGCTGACCTCTCCTTCTCTTCCCCTGCAGCACAGGCTGGCTAGGCCCAGTGAGCATCTTCGGGTATTTTGTCATTGGGACAACTGTTAACAAAGTGCTGATGAGCCCCATAGTGTCAACACTCGTGCAGCAGGAAAAGCTGGAGGGGGATTTCAGGTGAGTTGCAGCAGAGCGCATTCTTGCTGCCTCTTCTGGTAACTCCTGTGAGAGCTCCATTTTCTTCCCCATTCAGTACTATGTATGCATCTGCTTCTCAATGGCTTTCCTAGTCCTTGTGCTCCATCAGTTCCCTGCCAGCTCAGATAGAGTGCTTGATGTCCAAAGTTGGTGTCCCAAGCCCCAGGCACCCCTGTCGCTGCTCTGTGTTGTGTCAGGCAGTGCCCTTGGGTCAGTTCCCTGGTCTCCACTGCTGCTACTTGACTGCTCACTCCTCCTACTGTTGCTCCTGCTGATGCACTGGATGTGCTAGAGTGAAATTGCACGTGGAGCACCCCTGGTTGTTGAAGCAAGTTCACTGACAGAACCGCTGACAGTGGGTTTCTGGTTTGTTATTTCATGAATGTGAATGTTTAAAATGGCACAATCTCTCCATATGTTCAGCCAACTCGTCTCCTCCCCTTTCCCTTCAGAGTTGGATGGTGTGTGACAGGGGTTATGCAAACTTCCCTGTCACTCAGGGCATCCTGGGATAGCAGCACAGGGAGGTAGATTGAGCTTCCCAAAGGGAAGGGATGTCTGAGGGATCTTATGCACAGACAAGCGTGTTGCTCAGTGAGGGGCAGAATGATGTCATGCTGTCGTAAGCCAGTGCTCTGTCTGATGCAGGATGAGCGTCCTTTAGCAGGGATGTTGGCTACATAATTCACTGTGCAGTTGTCTGTGGTCCTTATGATTTCTTTTTTATTATTATTTTGTGTTGTTTTTGTGTGTGTTTCCCAGGTTCAAGCACATGCAGATTCGTGTCAATGCAGAACCCGCTGCTTTCTACAGGTAAGTGGTGGGCAGTGGTGGGTAGGTGGATCCTGCCAGCCTGGAGCATCCTCGCTGTAGTCGTGTATTCCAGGGCACTCAGAGTCCTTTTGCTGCTGCTTGGGCTTGCCCGTTCCTCCCATACTGCTGCAGCCACCAGGTCTGTGCAGGGTCATGCAACCACTGTCACTGCTTCCCTTTTCATGCTGTGCGTTGTCTGCAGGAGTAACTTCAGAGCGGCTGGAGACAACGAGCCTTTTCTCTCCCTCCGTTCCAGCCATCCCCAGAGGGGATGAATTTGCACTGTGCTGTTTACATCTGGTTATTGCTGAGGTTTCAAGAGCTGAGCATGCTGTCCTGAGACCAGCTGCACCTTGCTGCTGAGCAGCGCCCTGAAGTCTGAGTTTGCTTGAAGGCTTTGTGGTATTGCACAGAAAAGGCTAGAATCCAGCAGAAGGGCCACAGTTTTACTGTGAGTTGTGTTGGGTGCCCTGTAGGTCACAGCCCCTGCCTCTCTCTCTTCAGGCATCTGCAGTTGGCAGATATGTTGTGGAATCACACTCCTTTCAGGAATTTAAGAGAGAGCTGGCTGCCATATCTCTGGCTTTTCCTGGCTGTGGTCATTTGGCTCATTAGTGGTGTCATGACTGAGCACTTCAAGCATCGTGGTGTTGTCCCCAAGGTAGTTAGATACAGATTTTATAAAGATTTAAACTGGCAAGCAGGAAACTTTGATCTCAATAATTGAAATCAATCTTTATTTGCATCAGCAAGTCTTAGGTCTGTCTTTATAGGCTGCCTGATTCTTATTGGTCGGTGCTGATTTTTGTCAATCAAGAAGATACCTTAATTACTTGCACTTATTTAGGCTGTAGTACTTTTGCCTCACACTTTTGAAGCTTCTTACTCTACTACTAAGTAGGAAACTGAGAATGAATTATTGTACTAGAAGATGGGATTTCTTGCTTTAGTTTTTTACAGTTCAGTAGTAGAAAAGCTTTGTTTGGTGAGAAATCAAAATTTAATTAAAATGCACAACATCAGATATTTTTGATAAAAATGTATGTATCTTAATTAAAAGTAAAATAATCTTTTATAAGAGATATGTTCCTGGAATCCTGTGAAAGAAGGAGCACATGATGGAGGGATGTGGCTGGTTTTGACTGCCTGCCTTCTCTAGCTCTAGTTGTGAAAACTTGTCCTGTTGTGCTTGTCTAACCATAGATGTTTTGCTAAAGGAAGAACTGAAGCCCAGGCATCATCATCCTTTACTTCCTTTGGTTTCTTAACCTTTGACAAACGTGCTTTAGAAGTGAACTGAATGTGGGGAAAAGATGACACCAGTGAACAGTCTCTCTGCATCTGCCAAAGAGATAGCAGCTACCTAATACTGATTTTGTGCTTCCACCCAAACCCCTGATCCTCCGTGCCTTGCCTGTAACTCCTGCTGTTCGAGGCCTTGTCCTTCTTTGAATGTTCAGCAGCAAAGGTTACTGCTCAGCACTTAGCTGAGATGGATATCCTAAGCTGAAGGCAATAACAGATGGCAAACTGAATTCTCAATAGATTTATTTTTTTCAAATAATTGAGAACCTCTAAAAATCTTTTTGTGCATGTGTTTGCGAATCCTGTTTTTTTCTCCCCTGGCCCCAGTGATTCCCCAGCTGTATTAACCACAGTGGGAGGGTGCTTGGGTGCTGGCCGGGAGGTACTGGCAGTAACTGCAGTGGGAATTGCACTGAGCTCTCTCTCTGTTTTGCCACCTGAGGGCAGCCCAGCCCTTGCAAATGAGCAAGAGGAGCTGCCCAGCCTCTCTGAGGAGGTGCCCGAGAGCCGAGTTCTCCCTTGAAGCAGGGACAGAACTGCTGGGGGGGGCTGAACTGCTGGCACCACAGTGGTCCTGGGGCGTTTGTGACCTGTTGCAATGTTGTTTTGCAGGGCTGGACGAGTGGAGCACGTGCGCACGGAGCGCAGGCTGCAGAGCCTCCTGCAGACCCAGAGGGAGCTGATAGGGAAGGAGCTCTGGCTGTACAGTGAGTGAGCGGGGAGTTGCGGGGGTGAAGTGGGGCACGTGGGGCTCCACCGCAGGGGCCCGCTGGCTGCCTGGGAGCCTGGTGCTGCAGGAGCAGTGCTAGACCATCCTTACCCACCTCTTTCCCCAGGGCTTGCTAGTGCATTGAAGCCCTGAGAGTGAATGGAAGGTGCCTCCTTCCCTCTCAGATAGGAATCCTGTTGTGAAAAAAGTCTGGTAGAGAGCAAAGCTGTGGAGAAGCTAGCTAAGTCAGAGAAAACAAGCTCAAAAAGAGGAATATGCAGGTATCTGTACCCTGTGTGGCACAGGTATTCAGTGGCCATGAAGAGAGGAAAGTGCTTGGGCTCTAGGGAGAGAGGGAAGGTTCAGTTTAGGTGGTTGGGAACTCTGCAGAGATGTTCTGTAGAGCCTGTCCTTTGAGGGCACTTGCCACCTGAAAATCTTTTTTTTTTTTTTCCTATAGTCACTGTGTCCAGGTTTGTGGGTTAAATAGCGGGTGTCAGGACAACTCTTCCTTATCTCACCATCACGGTGAGCTTCTGAGCGCTATAAAAGGGGAAGAGCCCCGCATGCAGGTATCTGTGGGAATTCAGGGGCTCTCCTGTGTTCCAAGGCAGACTTTGTGACCAGTTTTCCTTCTGGGTCCCTGCTCAGTGGGTGACTTTACCCCTGTTCCTTGGGGTTAGCTGACCCCAAAGAGTAGAAACAAGCCGGCAAGGTGACTCTTGTCCCATCATGATTCCCAAGCTGTGATATTTCCCTGTTCTGGTCCCCAAGGAACTCTTTGCTTGGCAAGTGGATTTGCAGCCTAGTTCTCTTGCTCGCTAGTGAAATGAGTTTTTCTGCTTGGGAGCATTTGAATGGCTGAGGCAGGACACGGGTCTTACTCTGACTGGGCTCATGAGCTGCATTTGAGCCTGGGAAGGACAAAGCTTCTCCCCTTCATCTCACTGTCTCCTCTCGATGTGTTTCTGCCCAGTTGGGATCAATACCTTCGACTACCTGGGCAGCATCCTGAGCTACATGGTCATAGCCATTCCCATCTTCTCTGGCGTGTATGGTGACCTCAGCCCAACAGAGCTCAGCGCGCTGGTCAGCAAGGTGAGTTAAGGATGGTCTCCCAGGCTGGTCCAGGGGAGCAGTGCGCTCTCTGGGTTGTGTTTATTACCCGGTGCTGGACCTGAGCCAGCCACAACTGTGTGTTCGTGCAGCCGAACTCCGTTGTGGAGGGTGAGCAGGTACTGAGGATGGAGGGTTTGCGTTGGGCTGGTGGCAGTGGGGGTGGCTGGCTTTCATTGAGTGACCTCTCAATGGGTGCACTGCCCTTGCCCATGGTGGTGTGGAAATGGGAGCCTGGAAAAAGCTAGTGTATGATTAACCTGGGGGTGAGAAGTGTCAAGGACTCACCTGCATGAGCATTTCCTATTCAGATCTCTGCTGTGTAAAAATGGAAAGTCAAAAAGCTCTGGATTTTAGTGTTGTCTGTGGAGGGCTGGGCCCACACTGTGCTGCAGATCTGGCTCCCCTGTGGCTGCAGCTCACGGGGAGCCTGGCTGCCTGCAAGGCTGAGCTTGCGTTTGCCTGCCAAACTGCTGGACAGTAGCCTTCCCAACCTGACTTGTTTCCAACTATTCCAAACAGTGAAGAATGCTGAGCTAAAAACAGCTTGGCAGGCATTGCAGGCTGAGACACCCTGTCCCGAGCCATGTCCCAGGGCAGAGCTGGTGGGATGGACCTATTGGTGCCGGGGAAGCTCTAGGCCCAGCTCTGGTCAGGCCAGTTCCGGCATGGAGGGCAGGACATGCAGGTGCCCTGAAAACAGCATCCTGGGGTGGATAGGTGGACGATGTGTCCCTGTGACCAGGAGCAGGGAAGATCGAGCAGAGCGGCCACGTGCTCCCACTGCCGTGGGCAACTTCTGCATCCCTGCTGGTGGGCCTGCCGAGCTCACTAGGTGTCTGAGCTCCCCGCAGTCGCGGAGGAAGGGGCAGTGTCCCCGCTCTGCGCTGACCCTTGCTCTGTGTGTGGTTTCCCCCAGAACGCCTTTGTTTCCATCTACCTCATTGGCTGCTTCAGCCAGCTCATCGATCTCTCCACCACCGTGACCGATGTCGCTGGCTACACCCACAGGTAAGTTTGTCTGCAGGCAGCTCTGTGCTGCGTGGCATACATCTTGTTGGCCTGATTTGTGCTAAATATGTATCTGTGCTAAATATATTAAAAAACACAGATGCTCCTAAGCATGCATTGACAATAATGAGTGCTGTGAGGAGGGAGGGCTGCGGGAGCTGTCCTGGGCACTCATGCAACCTCTTGTTTGCCCAGGATTGGGGAGCTACAGGAAACCTTGCTGAGCCTTGGTAGGAAAAAAAACACTAACTACTCAGAAGCCAAAGACAGCTGGGACCTGGACAGGTGAGTTTCCCCTTCGGCAGCTTGCTGGCCTGCAGCTGCATGTCCCAGTGTGGAACTGGCTGGAGGTGGCCCTGGCTGTCACAGTCCGTACATGTAGTTCGGTGGAGGTGGCAGTACTGTGCTCACCATGACCTGTGACTCCCGGGGTGCGTGGGACAGGGCTACTGTCACCGGGACACGGGACCTCTAGGGTGCAGAGAAGCGTCTGATCTTTGCCAGCCTCAGCATCATCACTTACCCCCAGATCTCTCCTCCTATGTCTTGGTGGTGGCCCAGCAGCCATGCTGGGGAGGACCCAGTGCCAGGGGACACGGCTTTCCTTCTGAAGCGAGTGACACTCTCGGTGCCATCCTCTGGCAAACTGCTCATCAAGGACCTGAGCCTCAGGATCTCACAAGGGAACAGTGTGATGATTGTGGGGAACACTGGCACTGGGAAGACGTCTCTCCTGAGGGTCCTCGGGGGACTCTGGGAGAGCACACAGGGTAAGAACTGCCACTCTCTGCGGCTCCCTCTTCACTGCTCAGGGCTGCCCTTACTAAGTTTAGGAGGTGGCAGTGTGGAGTTGTGAGGCAGTGCCACTGGTGATAGTAAATGTGTCACTGGTGTGTTTGAGCCAACAGTATTGCATGCTTTGCTCTGGCCCTCATGGCTTTGCTGTGTGGCACATCTGCCTGTTCTGGCATTTGCTGGCTGATTCACAAGGCTGTCTGTGGTGGGAGGGCGCAGTGGGGAGTTACTGGCCGGCGCGGCGGTGACCGTGTCGTCACACAGGGCACGTGGAGATGCTGACCTGCTTCGGGCCCCGCGGGGTCGTGTTCCTGCCGCAGAGGCCCTTCTTCACGGACGGCAGCCTGCGCGAGCAGGTGAGACGGGGCCGTGCTGGCCGCGCAGGGGCTCTCGCAGCTCCTGACCGGGGGCCGCATCAAGCCCCCACCAGTCTCTGCGCTGAAGAGAGCCTGGCAAGAGGGGGACACCTATGCCTGTTGCTTCCCTTGTGCCTGAGTTTGCCACCACTGTGGAATCTCTGAACTGTGTCCAGTTTCCTCTGACATGGTTCTTTTGCTCTCTTAACCAGGTGATCTATCCTCTGAGGGAGATCTATCCAGTTTCAGGTGTGTGGAAATCCATCAAAACAATTAACCAACCCTGAAGTCTCAGCTCTCATTGCCCTGTGCCCAGCCCAGTTTCTCTTCTACCGTGCCCATCAAGCGTGCTAAACTATTTCACTTTCAGCTCTCAGCTTTTCCCTGGAAGATTTGAGCTTTTTGTAGCTTAAGATCAGCTCTGTGTTCCCTTGCTGTCAAGGAGAGTCTATCATCTTTATGGTATGAGGTCAGGGAGGCTGCACTCTGTGTGCTGTACTACAGGGTGGTATGTACCCCTGCTGGTTTCTGAACTTGCTGTTGGGTTACAGCTGGTCTGTCTGATACAGCCTGCCTTTGGCAAAACTTGCTTGCTTTTATTGCATCTTCCACTCACCTTTAACTGTTCCTATTCTTCAGATGGTGTCCTGAGGCCTTGCATATTCTCATGGTCAGACTAAGTGGATCCTCTCCCTCTCCTGCCCTCTTCCCAAGCTAGCGATCATACATCTGATCAGAAGATGCCACAGTTTCCAGGTTTAAGTTCCTCTTCAAGTTATAAGCAGGGCCTTGGCAATTGAAGTCTGAAACCCTATGTTCTGGCTCTGCCCATCTGTCCTGGACTGAGCCAAGTCTGATGCATCTGTGGAGCCCAATCTCCTGACATGCTGCTTGCAGACACGGTTAACATATGTAGGGAAGGTCAATCTTTGGGAGCTCTGTGTGGGCAAAGCTCAAGACCTGAATATTAACTGGTTGAGACAGCTCCATCAGACTCAGGAAGCCCGTTCGCCAAACCTTCCAGGGAAAACAAGGATGCTCCTGCCCCCTGCTATGACTCTTCCTTGCTGCTCTGGTCTCAACACATATTGCCTCTGTTGATGTTCTGTCTCTCCTAGGGTCTGCAGACGATGAGAGAATTGTTCGGTTCCTGGAGCTAGCGGGGCTGGTAGGTCCCTAGTAGAGTTGCTCTGTTCTTGCTTCATGCTACCAAAGGAGGGAGGAGGTATTGAAATAGCGACTATGTGCTGCACACGTGAGAGAATTGGTTACAGCTGAGACAGGACTGTCCTTGGGAACAGCAGGGGAGTGGAAAAAGGCAGAGTAGCAGCGGGGAGGTGGTTATGCCCAGGGCTGTGTCTGTTGTGGGCTGCCAGAGCTGGGGATATGTTCACAAGTCTCTGCTGTCCTCTTTGCAGTCTGATTTGCTGGCAAGGGCTGGAGGACTGGACCAGCAGGTGGACTGGAACTGGTAAGGGAGCTCAGTGTCTGCTTGACTTTGGGTGATACCTCTGGATGGGAAACATTTCTAAACAGATGCCCTTTGCTGCTGTACTTGTGACTATTGTCTGTGCCTAGATGTGCCTTGCAGGTGATGGGCATGTTGCAGGGGCAAAGGCTTTGTGCCTCAGCCCCAGTTGTCAACATCAGCAGCCACACTGCTCTCGAGGCAGCCATTTGATGGCTGCACCTTAGAGCCCAGCCTGGGGGCAGCTGCCCTGAGAGCATGTGTGTGTGCAGAGGGTGCAGCAGGGCAGGGGATGGACAGAGACCGCTGCTTGCTGTGGTGTCCTGCAGCAGTAGCCATAAGCAGCTGCTGTAAGAGACCTTCTTCAGCAAACAAGCTCCCTTCAGGGAGGGAGATTTTTAATGTGAACCCTGCTGCAGGTATGACGCCCTCTCGCCAGGGGAGATGCAGAGGTTGTCATTTGCACGGCTCTTCTACCTCCAGCCCAGATATGCAGGTGAGTGAGTGACCACAGGCTGGAGGGACTTGCGAGGCCCTCGGCATGCAAGGAAACAGATACAAAGATAGTTCACAGATTCCCTTCTCTCTTGCCCCAAGCACGCTTCACCTTAGTCATGATTTTAGGCAGAGTAGCACACAGAGGATTCCGAGGTGAAAATATTTCGTTATGTATGTGTGGAGGCAAGTGGCTGTGCAAAACATCCTGCTCTTATGCAACTAGAAATTAGTTTTCCTTATCCAGATGTGATTACACCTGAAACGGCACCCCCTCAGTTTGCTCGCCAGTTGCCATGTATAGATGTGTGCATCCTAGTGAGCAGAGTGTAAGCTGCCATTTCTGGAGTTTGTGAACCCTTGTGGGGTTCTGGAAACAGTCTGTCCTGGGAAATATAGTTGTAACGCAGCAAAAGAAAAGAGTGCTAAAAGCAGTTCTGCGATATCACAAAAGCAGCTCCTGTTTGTAGATGAGTCTAATTCCTCTACCCACTTAGATGGATAGTGACTGCTGTTGGGTCAGGGGAAATTTGGAGGAGTTGGTCTGGGGCTTTGGAGCAGAGCCAATGTTAGGAGCAAGTAGCCACATTTAAGTATCTCTCTTCCCCTGAGGCCTGCAGTTCTGCTCTGTATTATCCTGGAAGAAGAGATTTGTGGATTGAAAACTTAACAGTTGTAGAAATGATATAAAACAGATTAAATTTATCTGCTCCAAGTCTATAGTATTTTCCCTTTATTGAGAGGAAGCTGCCACAAGCCGTCCTGGCTCCTGTACATAGGGTCCCAGCCAGAGGAGTGAACAGGCTGCAGTTCAGCCAGATGCTCTGTCCTTCATCCTTTCTTGTGGAGGG